TTAAAACCCCCTTGCCCGTCCTCCTATTAAAAAAAAAAAAAAAAAGATGACCGGTAAGGGGATCTTAACCCTTGATTTGGTGTTGTCATCACCACACTCTCCCAAGTGAGCCACAGGCCAGCCCCCAATTTTATATTTTAAAAGTTGCTTTGAATAGTCTTTTGGCTGTTTCTCTCTGAAAGGTGTTATTTTTCATATGTGAAGAAGATAGAATGGTATGTAGGTTGAGTATATTTTCCAGTGGAGATGTAACAAGAGACAGAGGAACTAGCACTGGACCAGGAGTCATTAAATTGGGGAGGGGGGTGTCTAGCCCAGGTTTTATCTCTTGACTATTGTCCCTTTTAGACATGTCACTTAGTCTCAGGGCCTGTTCTGTATAATGAGGGGTATCTTTTCTGAAAGTGTTTTTGTGTGATGAGTTTACAGGTTGAATTTTAATTTTTTAATTTTTTTTTGGTGGCTGGCCTGTGCAGGAATCGAACCCTGGACCTTGGTATTATTGGTACCACGCTCTAACCAACTGAACTAACAGGCCAGCCCTGAAACATTCTTTATGCTTGTCTTATGGCCAGCAGAATGGAGGGCTATGAAACCAATTTAAATTCACCTCTGGAATCACTTCACACAGCTTTGGGGTCTACTGCAGTCAACTCAGCTACTGGTCCATTTACTGGAGAAACTCCCATTCTCCAAATTTGCATTTATATTCCTATTTGCATTGAAAGAATTATAGGGCTGAACTATATGAAATTGCCAGTGTCAGTCATTTTTGACCTGCAAAAATGGTGAGTACAAAAATGGTCAACCTATTAAATGGTAGTTGAGAAGGCTTAGAAGGTGAGGGAGGCCTCAATATACCTGAAAAAGCATTGAGACTATTTAGAAAGTGCCAGGATTATTGAGGGACTTTCTCCCTGGGGTTGGTTTTGCTTTTTATACCTAAATTAATTTTACCTAGTTTGACTTTCTAAGTCTGTCTTCTGCCCCCTCCCCCCACTCTCATACTCACGCACACATGCACACACAGATTTAGATTTGCTCTGTTTTCAGTTCTTTTAATGCAGCACTTTCAGAGTCACTGTGTTATTGAAGGCTCCCTGGAATTGTGCAACATAGAGACCCCAAAGTACTGTAATCATTTTGGATAAATGGTGGTATATAAAATACTATTTTGTTTTTAAACAAAATGAGGAATTTACCCTTTTTTCCTAGTTGTCATGATAAAGAGAATGGAAAAGGCCACTGCCTGTTTTCTTTTTTAGAAGTGGTATATTTTACAGTTGTAAAATGCAGTTGTAAGGAAATGTTTGGATTTATTTGATTATGCAATAGTAATATGCTTCTTCAATTGTAACCAGTAGAATTCCATTAGTTAATGTGTAATTTTTCTTAGTGTTGTATATTTAAAGAATTGTTGTCCTTTCCCCTCCACCATGGTGAGATTCTTTGTTTCTGGCTTTGAAATCAGAGTAGGCCTCCTACTTTTTTCACATGACCATTGAATATGTTCAGATGTTACTCTTTTTAATCAAGAAATTAAGAAATTAGATAATGTTGAATACAAGAAAAATACCACTGTTTGTAACTCCTTGATATATGGGACTAAAAGCTTTATAAAGGATTGGATAAAAAAAACTCTAGGAACATACTGGTACAGTCATAACAATGTGGTCCTCTGCTTTTTCGCTATGTACCTTTTCAATAGATCACTTTTCAGGTGTGTGTTTTGGAGGCATGGGGGAATGATCACAGGGGACCTTGGCTTTTTCCTCTAGAGCAGTCGCCCTTAAATCTGTTTTTCCTCTTCCTAGCATAAGCATACATCATCAGCATGGTCCCTATGCCTTCATCTTAACTGCTGCAGCTTTCTTATGACCTTCTGCATCTCAGAATGCTGGCAACATTTCTTACTCATTTTATCTTTACCTCTTATCCTTGTCTATCACACTACGTAAATATTTCTCAATTTCCATTTCTCCATCTTAAGAGCTGAAGGAATTTTAGGATATTAGTATTCTGTCTAGCTGTCTATTTTGCTTCTTTCTGTACGATTTTGAAGGTAGATTAGGAGAATGTTTACCTTGTAACCGTTCTAGAGGCCCTTAGGTCAAGTCTGGATAGACTAACAAGTAAATTTTCCTCGCTAGTAAAGATGATGTGATTTAAAAGTATACTTTTTTCTCTCATATTCTTATTGGACATTCAGGTTTTTTAAACTTAAGAAACCTGAAAATAATTCCTTCCTTCTCTTCCTTCCCTTCCTACAGCTGGCTGGTTAAGGGGATCTGAGCCCTCGACCTTGGTCTTACTAGTACCACGCTATAAGCAACTGAGCTAACCTGTCAGCCCTGATTTCTTAAAATTTTCTGTGAGGCAGAGAGGAATTTTCTTTGTGTTTATTTATAAATTTGCCTTTTATTAGGACAGTTATTACTGAAGACAATATCTGATTAAACTACATTAAAATCAACTTGGGCAGCTTGTATATTTTCTAGCTAAAATATCTTATATTTTCTGTATTTTTTTCAGTGTAGAAATATGTACCTATTCATTGAAAATTTGAAAAGTCAGAGGAGCTGGAAAGAAGACTTACTATACCTGGTATTTTGAGTTTATGACTAGTTTATGTCACTGCAATAAAATATATCTAAAATTTTTTGTAATTTGAGTTATTTTCTTAGGATTCTGAGAAGTGATGTTTACTGGTGAAAGTAAGTGAACATAAATCTTTTGACATGTGTAGTCTGTTTTCTGAAAAGATTATCAGTTTTATAATACCAGCAACTTATGAATGTGCAGTGCAAAAATTTTTGTTTTAAAAATGTGAAATGTTACCTTTTCCACTTATGATTTTTTTTTTATTGCAAGAGATAAAATTACATTAAAAAGTCAGATAGTACAGCCATATCAGGTAAATAGTGAAGACTCTTCCTGCTAGAAGTTACTATTGTTACTTGTTTGAGTCTCCTTTGAGAAAGAACTTTTTGCTCAAGTGCCTATGTGTGGGTTTTTTTTTTTTTTTCCTTATGTGTGTTTTTTTTTTTTGCCAGTGTGTGTTAAAAACATACCTTATTTTACTGATTACATTATGCTATCAGTATAAGGTGCATTGTTATTTTACTTAACAGTATTAAAGAAAAATGCTGCCAATTCCACCATGATACACTATTGACCAAGAAAAATGTGGATTTGAGATGTTAAGAATGTTTCCTTAAATAGCAATGCACACGTGTACAGTTCTTTCATAGAAATAGCATACATGCTATTCAGCAACTTGCCTTTTTCTTTCTTTCTTTTTTTTTTTAAATATGACCGGTAAGGGGATCTTAACCCTTGACTTGGTGTTGTCAGCACCACGCTCACCCAGTGAGCTAACCGGCCATCCCTATATGGGATCCGAACCCGTGGCCCTGGTGCTATCAGCACCGCACTCTCCCAAGTGAGCCACAGGCCGGCCCGCAACTTGCCTTTTTCCTTTGACAAAATGTGAATATTAAAAACTATAGTTTAAAAAAAAATTATTTTCGTACCGGCCAGCTATCCCCCCCCCCATTTTGTTTTTGCAGGGTGGGGGGGTAGCATTTTAGCCAGACTACCATGAAAACTTTAAACATGTCTGGTTTTGTTCACCTAGGTCAGTCTACCTTTAAATAAGAAAACCTTCCCAGGGTATTTTAATGTACAGTCAGTGTTGAGAACCTGGAATAGATCATTGTGTCTAAAATACCTGACTGAATTAGAATCACCCAGGGTGGGCTGGCCCGGTGGCGCACTGCTATAGTGCGCCGCTTGGGAAGTGCGGAGGCGCTCCCGCCGAGGGTTCGGATCCCACATACAGACCGGTTCCCGCTCACTGGCTGAGCGAGGCGCGGGAGCAACACCGAGGGCTGCAATCCCGTTGCCGGTCCCGGTCCAGTACGGGGGCGACACTGAGGGTTGCAATCCGTTGCTGGACACGGAAAAAGACAAAAAAAAAAAAAAGAATTCACCCAGGGTGATCAAATTCTTATTAAAATTTGGACTTTGGTATATACTCCAAATTTAATGTATATCTCTGGGTATGCAGCTGATTTGATCAGATGATGTAAAGCTCCCTTGTAGAGGCAGTCTCAGCAATTTTTTCAGCAGATACATATTGCTTGGGATCCTGAGTCTGAGGTTATTGGATGCTATATGGCAGTAATGCATAGCAAATGATGAAATATTTAACATAAGTTTAAGTTCTTATCTGTAAATGCTAATCAAATTTAACCTTTTTGAAATATCATGAGTTAGTTATCTTAGAGTTACACTGCATACATTATGGGCTTCTTAGTGTTTCTTCCCTTCATTCACTGTAGCTTGTTGATACCTATCATTGTTCTCTGTATCTGCCTCTTTATTTTTATATTATATTTTGATTGGTTGATAGTTATGAATTCCCCTCCCCCCTTCAAACACATTCCTAAGAATTTCTCCTGTAAATCCATTCTTGAAGTTTATAATCAGTAGGTATTTATTTAGCATGTCTTGGGAACTACTTTCCCCTTGTGAGTGATAAAGTAATTTCTTACAGTACCTACTATGGTGGAGTTTACAGTCTAGTTTAATTAGGAGAACTTGCTGTCTGGTTAGTGCAGTTGGTTAGAATGCAGCCTTATAACACCAAGATCACGGGTCCCTGAACCAGCCAGCAACCCTGCCCCCCCAAAAATTAATTAGGAGAACTGTGGCTTAAAAATAACAATTATTGCCAATTTCCATAATGCAGAAATTTTAGAGAAGGGGAACAGGGTATTGTGGGCTGTAGTTGCCAGGGAAAACTTGACCAGTAGATCAGACATTCATTGGGATGGATAAGATTTGGATGGTGGGAGATGGAGGTTCTTTTGGATATGTTATCAAAGGCATAGTTAAGGGATTAAGGATATGAGACCTTAATATATTAAGGATTATCTGGGTTAGAAATGAAAAATGGGGTTAGATCATACAGAAGGTTTTTCGTTTTAGCTCTTTACTGCATCAAAAACACTAACACTCCTAAGTGCTTGCTTCCTTCTGGATCCCTGGGTTTTTTTTTTGTTTTTTAATCTTGGAAATGAAGCAAGCAAGGAAAAGGAGTTAAACATATGATTGAGTTCTATTACGTGCCGGGGAATTTATTATGCAGTCTCATTTTAACTCATAACTCAGTGAGGGGTATCAGTTGTGTAGGTGAGGAAGCAAGCATATAGAGGTTAAATGACTTGATGTCAAAAGCATGTAAATAAACAGTTAAGCAAGAATGAATACCTAGTTTGAATATTTCTAGCTATAAGGGTGGTGGGTGTTTCCTATGCTATGGTGATACTTTCCTTTGCTATCTGCAAATTATGTATAATTTGGTCTACCTAATAAATAAATACAAGTGGCATGTAGATATTAGGGGAATAGTGAAAGTGTTACTAGAATAGAGTAGGACCTCTTTTCTTCAGAAAATCTTTTCAAGACCTTGCCGTATTTTCTGTTTCTAGCATCCTGTTTCTTTCATTGTACTCATCACAAAATGTAATATAC